TAAAATAAGTACCGTCAGTCATGCTTGGAGAGTCTGCTTCCATGAATCAGCCCTGCTGCGTAGAGATCTCCTGTCGAAGGGGCGTCGGCGTATCAGTCATCGGGGAGGAAACCCGCCCGGAAACGTCCGCGATGCAGTGTTTGACGCGTGGTGCGTTTTCCTAAATGAGGCTAAATCCAACGGCCAGTATTAATCGTACGTTTAAGTGTATGTACTGTATGTATCGGTAAATTCACGTGTAAGTTCTGCAACTCTTAAAATAAAACAATTACATTAAGGGTGCGCAATTTTTTAGGCACCCTTATTGGTATCTTGTTCAAAAATTCCTTATGGTGCTTGAACTTCTTCGTTCTTGTACTGCTGATGCAAGTACTCGGCCGTATTTAAGGCCAGAACCTCCTGCTGCTGCTGCACTCGGTTAATTTGCTCGAAAGTAAGCTGTGGGCCACCTCGGCCTTCTTCGCCACTTCCTTGACCTTCTGTTCCGACTCTGCCGGGAGACTGCGTGTCAGCGACGACTCAAACGGGCGTAGCTGGCGCCGGGCCACGACAACATCTTCCACTCTCACCCAAGGACTCAAGAATATTTGGAGCGAAAGAAACGGTGTTGCTGTCGCCCGATGGCTCCAGTACCAGCAGCTATCGAGGCTGAAGCCCATTACCAGCTGCTACACCCTCAATATGAACAGCAAGCCGGTCCGGCTAGCTGTCAATGGGAATAAAAACGTTTTTATAAGAAACGTGTATTTACGCCAGTTTAGACGTCTTTTCATTTTCGAACGTCTTTATTGTCTCTATCAATGTCGTTCAAGGGTATAGTGTACCTAATCTGCGGCTGCTGTCAAAACTAAAGCGTACCTCAGCATCCCAAGAAGTGGCCCCTCTGATTCTGGCCAGGATTACCTTAAGTCGAGGTCCGTCGATTGAGGAGATAAGTGCCAAACCGTTAATTGTGCTTCCTATTGAATTTCTTGTTGAGTCGACTTGCTTAAATAGCCGAGCAAGTTGTCATCTTTGACCGTCCTAGCCACATCTTCATTTCATTATTACGCAAGATGACGCAGCGAAAAGTACAATGTAAACTGCGCCGTAGGCATGAGCTAAATGACATATTGCTCTGGTTATCAGTCTGATGCGTCGAGTGTGATCCGGTCGAAGAGGTGGCGTCAATCGTGGTCGTTGATTCACCAGATTCAGTCGTCACCGTCGTCGACGTAGCTCCGGATCCAGTGGTGCTCGTCTCAATGGCACCGTCCGATTAAGTCGTGGAAATCGTATCGCCGTTTGAGTCGGTCGCCGTCGCCGTGGATCCATCTTTCAAAGTGTTTACGATCTCCAACGTTTTGGAACCCGTTTCAGTCCAGCTCGATTAAAGATCCGTCGAGTCATAAAAGCCCTCCAGCAGCGTGTCAGACACGTTGGGCGTCGTGGTGGTGGTGGCGATCGTGCTGCTCGTGGTCGTGACAGCCGACGAGACCCATTACGGGCAGTCATGCGCTTGTACAGCGTGCGGGATCGTACGGACGACCGTCGAGCTGGCAAACTTCGGGCTCGAAGCCGAGTAGAACGTGGAGCGCACAGCTATATACAGCAGACCCGAGCGCACGAGATTCAGACGCTGAGCACTCGACATGGTTCATGATGAGGATCTTGCCCGTTACGAGCATGGACATGAAGCTGGTGAGCCCGTAGACGATCTCGAACGTGTAGCACTCCAGCAGCTTCATGTGAGTTGCCACCAGATCCACGTTGTCTTCAAAACGGATTTTTATACCGTTGTACGCCGCCTTAGCCGCACCATGTAGATGCCAGACGTGGTCACGGGCGCCGTGACGTTGCGGCTACGCAATTGTCGGAGTTCGTGTAGCTAGGCACTGTTTCGTGGTAGTCACGGACGGCAACATCTGCCTTCTTAGGCCAAAGCGAGCCAGTCAGCAAGTCACCAGCGCCACTACAGATAGGTCCCTCGCCGTATTGCTTTCCAGACATGTCTCCAACTGTTTCTGCAGGCGGGGCACTGAGCGCCATGGCAGCCGGAGTAGTGATGAAAAAGGGGTGGCGCTGGGCGTCGTGTAAGCCGGAATGGCACCGAGCGTGGCGCTAGGCGTGGATGCAGCGATAGCGCCAGGCATAGCTGCAGCGGGGATAGCGGCAGGAGCCTTGGTGCCAGTAGTGATTGACGTCGTATTATAGTACTGAGCAGTAAGACTACAGCTCTGTCTCTATTAGTAGACCCAAACCAAGTTTCCCAGCTCATTGTTATCAAGTCATTCTTTCTTAGGGCCGTTCTTAACAAGGATCATGGGGTTATGATTCAAAAGTGGTTTAGGTTAGTTTGTTGTGTGATCCCATATTGGTTCTTAACAAGCTCATGATCCCATTCAATTCTATATTAAGGCATCACTTTGTGAGGTGTTCGATTGCGCGGAGCGACACCATTTCTGGAGTATTCTAGAGCGTAATGGACTCAGCGACAGACACTAACACGGTTATGACTACAACCAAATGGACCGCAAAGCAAAAAACAGATAGTAAGCGCGCTGTGCTTCCTCCCACATCCGATGACTACAGCGAATGGACCGTTGACCAGCTAAAACTTGAATGCACAGCTCGTAAGCTGTCAGTAGCCAAGAACACCAAGAAAGAAGATCGTGTCTCAATCCTCAATGCTTACGACCAATCCAAAGGCGGTGTAGCACTGCTTTTGGAGAGGCAGAGACTTGGTAAAAAAACAAAGTCATCTTCAGAGACAACCGATGCTCGCAGAACCAAACATTGTTTATTTCGCTTGGTTAACGTGCTTTTTTCAGATGAATTCTTTGGCAAATTTGTTACATCTGGGAATCAGCTAACGAGAAAGGAGTTAGATGAAGGAGGGAGAAACTTTTGGGAGTCTGTTGCGGCAGCATTTAACACTTCAAACGAGATCTACGATCGGCTTGTATCTGACGATTCTCTTTTTGATGGCATTTCTCCAGACCAAATTACGGTACATTCCGCCGCCAAGTTGAAATCGATGTGGAAAGATGTCCACGCCGCATTCTCCCAGGCTGAAGCTAATTCTAAAATATCCGGCGAGCACGCAGAATTTTGGGATTTTTGTCGTGGAGATAAAGCCGTCATGTACCTCAGCCTATGGTGTGATTTACGCGGATCTGGGCGCGAATTTTGTTCCGCTTGTGTGTATGAGGAAAACGAAGATGATTCAACCAAAGAGGAGGAATCTAAAACCACTTCAAATAAAAGCAATAGAAAGCGACAAAAGACGGATGATTCGATGTCAAAGCTTACTGCTATTATAAAGACTCTGATTGATGTGGAGACGAATAATAAAACTGAGAAAGCCGCTCTGATTCGGTTGCAGCGTGAGCGCATGGAATTGACTGCGAAAACAGACAAGTTAGCTGCAATCGAATCGATATTGAGCCGTCACCGCCACAACCTCCAAGAAATCGATGCACTTATTCATCAGCAAAACATCAAAGGAATGCCAACATCCTCTCTTCGAAATGACAAGAAACAGATTGAACTCCGTATTAAATCTCTCCAGGACAAGGCAAGCAAGCTTGAAGACCTGATTATTGACAGCTAACTAATATCAGGAGTATTCGAACAAACTACAGATAGTAGGGAAGAACAAGATATAAAATCAAAAGTATAAAAAAGCGTCTGAAAAAAAATGTATTATGGCCGAGCCATGTTGTAACTTTGAATGTGTTCTAAGACTACTTGTCGTAGGATATGACCATTTTTCACTTTGATACAAGAATTAGACGCATCGTCATTAACTGTGTGCTGATAGCTGCAATCTTCCATGGCGTTAAACTCCTGCAGTATAATTTTGCTACTTCCAGCGCTCACCGTAGCTCCCAACCGATCGTCAATACAATAGTTATGCAACTTCATGCAGGTTTTGATCACAAGGCCTGTGTGGACATAGTCTACCACCAATGCTCTCTGAAATATTCGCCACTTGTTGACAAGCAGACCGAATGCCATTTCGATTCTTATCCTTAGTTGAGACAAATAGAAATTGTAAGCTGAATGCTCAGGACTTTTGATTTCGGGCTTCGTGAAAGGAACCAACATTGACGGAGCGAGAATATACGCATTGTCTCCAATTATGTAATAGCCAAAAGGAAGTTTCTCGAAATCAGTACAAATTCTCCATTTTTTTAGTGCGACACTGTCAGAAACTTTACCAGGAGAATTAAAGGAATAACCCGTGAATCTGCACGAGGCATCACACATCGCTTGAACGTTAATTCCGTATGTAAGATAGTGTCCAGAGAAAAAGGCGGAGACATCAGGGACTTCTTTTGCACTCGGCGCTCTGATTGTACATAACCAACCGTCGATACAGCCTACACAACCTGTGAGAATATTGTTTGAACTGATCTCTGCAAATGATGAAGCCACCGCCTCGATAGCTCGCGCGTCATATATTGGAGCAACGATCTGAAATTTTGGGTGATCACAAATTGCTTTCATGACGTCAACAACTATTGTGTAGAATGCGGGTGTACTAACACCAGCCAAAACGCGTATAGAGTGGTAAGACCCACCGGCAAGCCACGAAATGGTCATTTGAAGCATGTTAACTACCTCAATCGCCTTTATACCAGTTCTGTTAGTTGATTTATAGGCAACCCGCTGCAAGTAGGGGGTTACTAGATGTAGTAGGCCATCGAAAGCGCCAGCACTCATTCGGTAATAACGGTTGAACTGACCTTCGAGTAGTAAGCGTTCCCGGTGGGGAATCCACTCCAGTCGTTCCCTCGAAACAACCCTTTTTCGGCGAGATTTATGTGTTTGGGAAGTGATGATACTAGCCACGAGCAATACAATTCTTTCAACCTTCATCTTGATTGTAGCAAGCTGTGCTCCGTGATCCGAGAATGGGTTGTGACCCTTGGCCGGGATCACCGACTCACAGTCTAGTCACCATATGTATTTTTGGTATCCAATCAGAACGCAGAATTTCGGATCATGCCCCAATCATGATCCCGTTAAGAACGGCCCTTAGGGTAATAACGTCCCGGTGTCTGTAAAAAAAGAATTTAGACGTTCGTCGAAAAGCGTAAAAACACACGAACGTTTAAACGCCTCTGAATAGACGTCACTACCAGCACTTGAACCAGTGCTGGTAAAGACAGTCTGATTAAAGACACATGTGACGATTAAACTGTTAATACAGTTTTACCGGTGTAAAAACTATATTTACGTGGTGAGATGCGTAATTACCCTTTATTTCGCTATCTTGATTTAATTGAAGTGTAAGGGATCCGAGCGTCCCAGGGGTCTCTTGGCAGCACGAGGGGGTGCCGATGGAGGGCCAGACGGATCTGGTCAGTGTGACGAAGGCAAGTGCGGGAGTGTGGGCCACGTGAATGTGAATCACGTGTCAAGGGTCGACTGGCGGCTGCCAGACGACGAAGTCAGTGAGACGATGAGCGAGCGGTGGTTGTACCTGAGACCATCTGACCGCTCCTCGAAGAGCAAGGCGGAACTGTATCTGGGTACGCACGACCGGTTGGGGCTGCTCAGTTCCGAATCTGCGCAGTTGGACACAAGTGCGCATGGTGCAGACCCGGGAATTGCGACCGAGCCGGGCACAGTGCTGGCGACAGACGAGAATGAGTGACGAGCAGTGACGTATGCGTGACTGGTAGGCTGCGGTGTACGGGCGGCGAGAAGTGCGTGGATCAGGAGGGCAGCGCAGGGTCTAACAGAAGTAGCCCCGGTTCAATGGCTCCGGTGCGTGAAGCTGAAAGAAGGCTTCGCGTGAGACTCCAAGAGGAGACACGCCGGAACGCCAAGGCCTGACACAAGTAGTTGGTGGGAAGACTCTGCGAAGAGCGGAGCCACGAGCCTCTGCGAGTAAACAGAGAAACGAAGTAACGAAGAAGTCTATGGAATGGAGCAACGAAGTGTTTTAATAAATAGGCGCGGACACGAGAGTGAACGAGCCGGCATGGTGAACCGGGCCTTCTAGTGTTGAGTAGTTGCGTAGTAACGACTCGGTGAACCTGGAAGAACCTCAGAGCAGCAGGCACCCGAGCATACGACACGCTCAATGTAACAAACATGCTCATCCTCTCAATAGACGCCTTCCAAAACTATCGTAAACAGGTGCCTTATCAGCTGCAGATAAGGTGTGTTTAAGCAAGTATTATGTCAAGCATATCACGTTGGGTAGCCACCACAACCAACTTACTTACGATCTTCTTGTCCTAACAACAGTGTCCCAAAATTAGAAAATAATACTGGATACTGTAAACTGACTGGATGTGTACCTGACACTTTGAACCGGACAGAACTTCGAATGAATCCTTCCATTTTTCACTTTCACTTTTGCGGCACGAAAAAGAATGAGCGAGATGAATGAACTGTTCTACTTCGCGCAGGTAGAGAATAGTGTCAACGAGGTGCGAGCTGAGGTGTACCGGCTGATGATCGAGGATGCATGGCGTGTCGCCATGCGGAGTCGCCACTACCTGACATCGCAATGCCTAGACAAAACAAGCGAGTCGGCGTGGATGTCGCTGTACATGAACGTCATGGACAGGAACTTCCTGAATGCCACAAGTTTAGCGAGGTAGCACTTTGTTTGGTGTTGAATGGTCTATTTACATACTGACTGTCTGCTGGCAACGACGTAGAGCTTCATTCCACCGGTTGCTGCAAAGATTTCCAACTTTCTACCACATCCGCCCCGTGTCTTTCACTGGAGGCCGTCCTCCTAAACGGCGTTACCATCATCAGGGCCTGGGGCTCATATTGTGCTTCTACGTGGGTTCGATGGAGGCCAGTACCCTGTGCATGTTGTTCGGAGTGCCCCCGAGTACTCTTGCAAGAGCACTCTGTAAAGCTGAAGAAGCGTTGGCGGGTACGCTGAAGGGCTACCGACCGGCACGTATTTCGTGGCCATCCCCGGCCCGCCAAGTTGAGTTGGCACGCCGTGTGGAGGCTCGCGAGTCGATATTGAAGCACACATTTGGATTCATCGATGGAAAGAATCTACGGGTGCGTTACTCTATCTTTACATGGTATGACTGAGAACGAGCTAATTGCTATAGGCATTGTTCATTGTTTGTGTACTACTGGTCATGCAGCCGTCAAGTGCGGACCTGCAGAACGCTATGTACAATGGCTGGCTCCATGGCGTCTTCGTGACGGGTACTATCTGCTTCGCGGCGGATGGCTGCATAATGTGGAGCAAGCACAACTGTCCGGGGTCGTGGAACGACTCGAACACGTCGTTGGGGTTCCGATTGAAGCTGCTGGACCCGAAGTACTGCCCCGACACGCGGATGAACGTCGTGTCCGACTCTGTGTTCCTTGCTCCACTGAGCTAATCGGACGGATTCTCACCCCCCCCCCTCAAGGATGGTGACATTGAGCGGATCCTGCCGTCGCTACTGAGCTCAGCTCCCACGCGACACAACGCAATCACGCCGGTGCGTCAGGCCGCGGAGTGGGGCATTTGGAGCATGCAAAAGGTGTATAGCCGTCTTAATCTCCCTCTCCCCTACGACCCTGAGCTCCGAGGCCTACGCATCAACAGCATCTTTCGTTTGTGTAACTATCACGTCCACACGGTTGGGATATCGCAGATTTACACCACATTTACCGGCGAGATGGAAGAGATGTCAACTTTGTAGTAGGATGTCTTGCGATTTAGTTTTGTTGAATTGTAGCACTTGAGTAGTTAAGTGCATGGAACTTTGCTGTAATGAAAGATGAAGACGTTCATGTAACACATCCATCGCTGTTGTATTTGAAATTAACAAGAGCTGCTTGATCGAGCTACGCTACTAATGAAAATAGTCATTGTGTTCTTCAGCTCTATACGCCTTCAGCGCTAGAGCATCAACAGTCATCGTGATCGAGAGTACTCGTCGCCTACCATACGATCCACTTACTCCTTCTTAGTCAGAGCTCCAATCAGAAGTACCAGCTCCTGAGTACGAGCTCGCGCCTCTCCCTTGTCGCGGCGGGCGCGCTCATCCATCTCCAACTTGTCTTGGCGGCGGCGTTCTTCCGCTTCAGCCTTCTCTGCGGCAAATCGAGCTTCTCTGGCAACGGTTTCCTCACGACGGCGGCGGTCTGCGTCATCGCGACGAGCTTCTGCCTTGCTGTCATTCTCTTCACGTAGAAGTAACATCATCTCAAACATACTGGACCCCATGGCAGCAGTAGCGCCTTGCGTATCACTGAGTTGTTTCTTGAGAGCCGCAGTGGCTTTCACGGCTCGTGCACGTTTAACCTTGGCAAATCTTGCCCCCACCATCTCGGCATCGGCCTAATCACGCGTGCGTTTGGATCCGACATGGTCTCGGAGCGCGTACAAGTCTGATCCACCTAGACGATTAAGGCAATCAAGCAACGTGTCATAGCGCATCGCCTCCTGTTCGTCACGGGGTGCCTGGCTTGAAACTACGAGCCGCGGGCTTCTTCGCGGTCTTTTGCATCTTCGCAGCAGAAAAACTCGTGGGAGGATCTGACGGAGTGCCTGACAGCGGCGTTGCTGTCTTGCTTGGTTTACTTAGCCCAGCAGAGCGAGTTGACCGGGCTGTCGGTTGTGGGCGCGGCGTCCCAGGTCCAGTTGAAGGCGATAGTGGCTCTACACCATCTCCGCAAATCGCCATCGCGAGAAGCTCTTGAAAGCCGCCTTCGGATCCGCTCACAGCGGTAGCGACCTTTTCACCGTCGCCATCAGTACGAGACGTGGTGCCACGACGACAACTTGCAGCAGTGTTGGGGATGGAGGAGACGCCACTGCTACCACCATCATCATAACGGCCACTGCAGCAGCTTTCGTCGGGATCGACGTCAAAACAAAAGTCCGGTTGATAGTTGTTTCTATCCCCAGCAGCGTCGGCGTCTACGTTGTCGTAGCCTTGGCCTTCGTCGCCCTCGTCGTCCATCTCAACGACGTTTGCCTTCTTGTCTATCTCCCTCTTCAGGTTCTTGCCTTCGAAATGTGAGGTGGCATGGTTGCCTTGCCAGTAGGTTTGTGAGTGCTGTAGAGCACCTTGAACTTTCGGCGTAGACTCTCAAACTCACGTTCCGCCCACCCACGAGCTCTGCTAAAGCTGTAGGCACCTGTCAGTTGTTCCCACTCATCTTTCCCCAAGGGTAAATGGTCTTCGACTAATTCTAGAAGGCGCTCAATCTCGGCCAACTTGTAGTTAGTGCTTCCAGTGCTCTTAACCATCTACGTAGTAAGATGCAACACAGTGTTTGAGAACTTCAAGATGTTAGTACTGTAGTGTGAAACGTGCGTACCTTGACAGGATGCTGGGGTGTGGGGTGAGGCGATGATGTGAAGGTGGTGCAGAGTGAAGCATGGCTTGCGGCTGACAAGGCAAAAGCAGAAGTTAGAGACTGCTAGGAGCTGCCGCACAACCACAGCGTTCTATACTGCGAGATGATAACCCACGGCGCTGGGACTGCGCGCGAAAAGCGTGGATGGTTGAGAGCTCACGGCGCGTAGCTTCAACGCGCGAAAGCTGCGCGCGAAAATCTTGGTCAGGCTGTGCAGTGAGCTCGCCGTGACTTACGAAGGATGGCGCGAAACGAAAGGGCGTGGGCTTCTTCCACCGATTAGAACGTGTTGGTCGCTTGTGCTCGGCGTGGTAGATTGAAGACTGATTGAATTTAGTTGTTATGTAAAATGCATTCTCTCCTTCGAGAGGTTTCCTAACTGCTCATCCTGTTCACCTTCTCTGCTGACGCTCACCTTCTCATGAATGACGAGATCTTCACCATCTCATCCGCGTGCGTGACTCCTCAGCGTCTCTTGGTCTCATGTAGATCTTTTGTGAGTTCCGACACTCCTTCCCGGGCGATCATCCTGACAACATCACCAGTTCACGCAGCTCCTTGAGGCGTGGCGCGGGGAGAACCTTCGTCAGGATATCTGCACGCATCTTCACGGACTCACAATACTGCACCCGTAGCACGTTCTTTTGTACGAAGTCCTTCACAAACTTGTGACGCGTGTCAATGTGCTTGGCACGTCCGGACGAATCCTCTCCCTCCAACTGAGCTATTGCAGCTTGGTTGTCGACATGAAGCACTGACGGCTCCATTAGCTTTAGTCCTACCTCTTTGAGACATTCCATGATGCCCAGCATCTCCGCAGTTGTCTGTGATGCTGCCACGAACTCTGACTCCATGGTCGACAGTGCAACGCACGCTTGCTTCTTGCACAGCCATGCTACTATCACTCCTGCAACCATTAGTACTCCTCCTGTTACAGACTTCCTGTCTTTCTTGTTGGACGCGTAGTCTGCATCGCTGAACGCTTCCACCAGCACCCCAGCATTGTTCATTGTGTTCTTGTTGGTGTTCATTAGGAACTTCAACTTCTTCGTCCCCTTTAAATACTTAGCAATTCTCTTCGCCAACCTCCAGTCGGCCTCGGTGGGGGCGTGTGCGTTTCTCGTCACACAGTGCACTGCAAAAGAGATGTCAGGCCTCGTACATCTTGAGAGCCACAACAAACTGCCCACCAACGACTGGAAAGTCTGCACTGTTGGTCGCCTTGGACTTCCTGCACCCTTACTCGGCAGTATTACACTGGTCTCCTCGCCGTCGTATCCACCGTCGATCGGCGTACGTACTGCTGCCGCGTTA